CTGTTAAGATGTGCCACCACCTATTAGACTTTGTTTTTCTTTTGTCGAATGTTTAGAACATTTTAGAAGCTCTTGAGCTTCTAAAGTAATATGAGGCATGGAACAGATGGTAGTGATGATCCATTTTGTCTGTAGCTCCCAGAAAGTTTCTTCTGCAGGGCAGCAGTCTGCTTATCCTTAATGAAACCTGCAGGCAGCCAGCTCTGTCACTAAAGTGCCACTGGGGGCTGAAGATGTCACAAAGATATGATATTTTTGTGGGTAGTATTAGTAAAATCCTTTAAGACTTGCAGAGATACATTTATTACCTTTTCATACAAGTTGAGGTTACCTTTCTCTTTTTTGTCTTCATAGCTTTATTTGCACGTTCAATGATATTTATAAAATGAGTTGCTAGAGATTATTCTCACTCAGTAAGACGACTTAAACCTAAACAGTGAAGAAAAACATTTGATCTTGTAAAGGATAAAATCATTTCTAAAAATTGTAGCCTGTGTAAGTGTAGAACAGTTTAGAGCAGCAGCTCTCCACTTTCCTAATGCTGCCACCCTTTAATACAGTTCCTCGTGTGTGGTGTATGAATGTCCCAACCATAAAATTATTTCATTGCTACTTCATAACTGTAATTTTGCTATTGTTATGAATCACAATGTAAGTATCTATGTTTTCTGATGGTCTTAGGTGACCCCTGTGAAAGGGTCATTTGACCCCCAAAGGGGTCTTGACCCACAGGTTGAGAATCGCTGGTGCAGATCTTCATGCTGAGGTTCAGCAATGAATCCTCAGGGAAGATACAGAGGCGTGGAAAGGCGCCTCTGACAGTAAAGGCAGACAGGGGCTCCTGACGTGAGCACCTGGCCTCCTAGAGAGGGTCTGTCTCTGTTGTGAAGTGTTAGCAATGCTTGGTACCTACACTGTAGGAAAGTCCAAACAACAGCCCAGGACGTGGTTTTGTCACTGTAGGCTCTAATGTTAGAGCGCTGGTTTAATCAAGTGTAATACTCAGCTTGATATTAGAGTTGACCCAGCATGAGAGTTTGTGATTGCCTTGTCTCAGTTACGGCCTGTGATGTCTGTGGCAATTTGCCATTGTTACTATTATGAGTTTGGATGTTGTAGATGAACAGCTGTGAGTTTAAGTGATGTTATGTTTCATAACGTGAATGAGAGCTTTGTCCTACACTTCCAACATTAACCAGTATGCTTACAGAGTAATAAATGATTAAGGAAGCTAGAATGCTGTTTGTTCTTTGCAAATTCTTTTTCCTAAACGCATAGAGATGTGACTCTGAGTGTGTCATATTCAAAGGGGGATGTGTACCGCATTTGAATTTTGATTATTTTAAAACTATTTTTTAAATGGCTGAATTAAATAGAACTGAAATTAAGTTACAGGACATTTATGCTGTGCTTGAAGAAGAGTTAGCACCCTGTCTGTTTAATGAGAAACAGGAATGGCTTCCATAACCCTAACTAGGAAGAGTCAGGAGTAGGAAGAAAGCTGTGTGCTTTGTGTAGTGCTGCTGGAGGTGACAGTAGGGGCAGCTGCTGGATAAGCACTTTATCATGAGTTACATCCTAGCCATCAGAGGAAGGATTATAAAGAGAGGTCTGAGGTCAGACTCTCCTTCCCTGCTCCCTGTCTGCTTATCGGTTTCATTTGGATGGAAGGAAGAAATGAGATGATCAAGTTTGAGTTCTGGCTGTATTTTTAGTGGCTTGGCTATTCTACTAAAATTGCCCATCTGATATTTCTTCATGTATATAAAAAAGGGACTTAATAACATTTCATAGGGACTGAAGAGATGGTGCAGTGGTTGAGAATACATATTGCTGTTGCAGAGGACTTAGATGCTCTTCCATTCACTTCAGCTCCAGGGGACCTGACACTTTCTAGCTTCCTTGGGCACAAGCACTCATGTGTACAGCCTACACCTTTTCTATAAATACAAACACATACACATATATAAAAATTTAAATGTCAAAGGCATAATATTTATAGATTATTCTGTAGACCCTTACAAAGATGGAACAAAAATAATTTGTAAAACAGCCAGCTTACCCAGAGTTGGCACACGATTCTCTCTTCAGTCTTCTTCTCGAGTCGAGGGATGGGGTCTGGGATGGAAGTCAGTTTGTTCAAGCTGTTCTTACGAGGGTGTACTCCAGTATCCTTGCTTGGTAGAAGGGGCTGCTTTATGGATTGCATCAGGATAAAGCTTTTGATTCTGTGTGCTATTTCTCTTTGGAATCAGGTGAGCCTATTTCGTAGTCGTTATGGAGATGTGGAAATAGACTTCTTCAGTGTCTCTTGTTGGGTTTGAGCTAGGGAAGGAGGGTTGCCTGCATTGTGACTGATGGAGGAAGAGATCATAGTCGGTTGTCCCTGCCCTTCCACTACCCTTATCTGATGATGAGTTACACTTCTATAGCTTAGCAATTAGTAGTTAAGCAAAATTTAGAGATATTTCTGTCAATCGATGAATTTAATGTGATTAGAAAGGGATGTTTGATGAGCAAACATGGGAATTGTATCAAATCATATTCTCATCTTAGTTCCCCACTAACAAACTAAAGCTCAATGATAAGAACACTGCACACCTTTTCAGTGTTATTTAAGACAGGATCTATGTAGTTTGTCTTATAAAGCCCTGGAACTTATCATGTAGACCAGACTGGCAGCCAATTCACAGACATCTGCCTGCTTCCGTATCCCAAATGATGAATGCTGGGATTGAAGGTATGTGCCACCGTTTCCCTTGGCACCCAGCAGACCTTGGGCACTTCATGTAGATGCGGATGTAGATCTTCAGAACAGTTAGTGCTTTGCCCATTTCCTCTATCCCCACCCCAGTGTAAATGCTATTCCAGTAGAGGAGAGGCAGAAAGTTCAGACAAACGAAAGAAGAGAATACCGAACTAGCCCATTTTCTCAAAGAAAAGCATTAATGACATTTTCTTACCTTTATTTTTAGATTATTTTCTCTTCATATATTCTTATGTTTAGGCTAAAAATAAGTAGTTAATTTTTTTCAATATGTGACTTTTCAGTCAGCAATGTATTTGTATATGTCTGACACTATAGAGTGAGACCTTCTCTCAGAAAACAAAGCAAAAAAAAAAACTAAACAAAGCCCCCCCCATATACCCTTCCCCAATCCCCTCTGTTATATTCATCTTTCTCTATGAACATCATTGCACTTAGAACATTCCCTATTTCCATTGAGATATAATGAGGAATGCATAAATACAGAATTCACTCAACTGGAGCACTTTATTTTGCAGAGGTTTATGTTAAGATTCAGGAAGTTTCAGCAGTGCCTGAGTTGTTATTAAAGCAGATGGATAGTCAAGCTGCCACCTTTACCTTTCATTTGGTGCGTTTTCCTGGCAGCTGCCGCTGTCTCTGTAGTCACATTGATGCCTGGTGATACTGCCAGTGTATTGGTGGTGATCCAGTAGGACCCTGATGTTTACCGGTATACATTAAAAATAAGAGAGAAAGACTACCTCTGAGCCTGAGAACAAAGGGCATAATAATACCCGTGCAAGTCAGTGGACTAACCAGAGGGTTGGCGGTGTTCATAGATCATTCACTTCACTTTCCTGTTTGGTTGTGACGCAGGTGGGACGACCGTCGCTCAAACATTAGAAAGCAGCTTTTGTTGTTTTGTGTATTGTGTTTAACAATTTTTCGACTGTCTCTTCATAACATACCATTTGAGGAATGTTCTGTTTTGAAAAGGAAGAGTGTATGTCTGTATGTCTGTCCACGCTTAGAAGAACTGCGGGAGGCTGGGGTACTGATGGGATGAGAAGAGCCTGGTCTAACCTAGGGTGGTCAGGTAGTCAGGGAAACAGCCACAAATGGAGGTCAAACAAGCCTGGGTCTAAGACTGTCTTTCCTCCAGTCAAGTGATTTAGAAAGGAAGGCTGTTCTACCTTCAAGCCCTGATTTCCACATGTGGAAGGGGAAAATTAGTAAGTGAGATCTGACACAGAGAGTGTAGCTTAGTAGTGTCAGTGTCTTGGAAGGTGAGAGCCAGACTTAGAGCCTCAGGCTCAAGGGCCCAGGCTTGGTTAGGAAGTCAGCATTCCAGCCATCAGTGGAGAGCAGGACCTAACTAAAAGGGATTAAAGTGATGGGAGAGGAAGAAAGGAATGAATGGAAGGAGTCAGGTGTGTGGGGAAGAGAGAGACACCCAGAATCCTTCTTTTCTTCCTAAAAAGAACACCTATTTGTAATTCTGGTTCAGTGTCTACTCAGGCACTTTGTAGAATAAATGCATATATGTGCACATATGAATGTCAAACTCCTTGCAGAGTTGATGTTCTTTAAAATGAAGGCATGACCGGCTAAGTGTTTATTGGCAGCATCACAGGGGAGGAGCAAACACGGATGGAAGTTCAGGGAAGCTTCCTAAGAGAGTAGATCCGGTGTCCTGGGTTTTCTGGTACTTTTCTGCAGCATCCCAGAACCTTACAAACATGTTCGCTGAACCTTAGTTCTGATCCATGTGCTGGATGGTGTAGGTGTTGAGGGACAGTGAGGTTGATAAAACCATCGTAGTTTGTCACCTCCAAGCTGTTTCACAGCGTGTGCTCATTTGCGAAGTCCCTGTAAATCATGCCAGAAAGAAGACTTCGGAACTGTGGAGCCTAGCAATACAGGCCTAGATAACTGACAGAATATCTGAGAAGGCATTTTGCTAAGTCACATTTGAGAGCATGTGGTTGTAACCTGTTTTCATGTACAGGAAATATTTGTAGATTGAGCATATGAACTTCAGTTTCTTATATTTGGGGGGGGTACCTAAAGAATGAAAAGATTTCACAGCTTCTGTTTCCTTCCTGTATTTTTGTGTATTGATCTTTATCTTATTTCCCTGAAATGCTGTAGAGTTCTTATATACAGTAAAAACAGATGTTTGGAAAGTTAAAGATGAAACTTTTTAGGCATTCCTGTCCTAATATACAAGCTCATTCTTCTCTGTCCACAGGTGTACTACCCAAATCTGGGGTGGATGTGCATTGATGCCACCGATCCGGAGAAGGGCAACTGGTTGCGCTATGTGAACTGGGCTTGCTCAGGTGAAGAACAGAATTTATTTCCACTGGAAATCAACAGAGCCATTTACTATAAAACCTTAAAGGTAACAGTGTTGGTGTTAATCTACTCTTGGCTACTCTGTGTGCATTTTCTCAGTGTAGTCTAGCTGTGACTGACAAGAACAGCTCTGCAGACCTGGAGTGATTGCGTTTGAAGTGGCTCATCCACACACTGAAGGCTCTGTGTTAAACACATGGTTGCTGAGATCTAGCGTATGTCAGGGAAGTAGAGCAGGAAGATTGTGTTGAGTAATTATAGACTACATCTTTCTTGATACTGTTGATTATGGCAGCTGCTCCCCTTCTCCTCCTCTGGCCCAGATGCATTGGGGACTGTCTGGCAGATTTCTCCTACAGTGTAGTATCAGCACCGTGGTGGTGTGTGTTATCAGAAAGCATACTCATAGTGTTGAGTGCACGTGAAGCTTCAGGTTAGCTTCCCCTTTCCTTTGCTTGTATTCAGGATAGAATTTAGGATATATTTCTTCCTCCTGCCAAATATTTCTTGGGGACATTAGTTACTGAGATTAAGAGGACAGCCATGCTCAGAGCTGGTGATGAGAGCACCCAGTACATTTGGGGTCTTACTACTAGGCTGCTTTTCATCTTAGCACATTTCTGTGGTGAGTAGGATTCTCTCTTCCTCTCTTCTTTTCACAGGTCATGTTTCTGTAGCAGACAGAGCTACATTCCATGCATGGAATGTTCTAGAATGGAATTTTGGGGTGGAAAGACAGATGATGGTTATCTTTTGTAGTAAATACCTCTGTCCAAATTGCTGTAACAAACAAATAGCTCTTTAGTCACCTGTGGCCTTTTGGGTCCCTCAGCAGTGATCGCCTGTGTTTTCCAGGATTCAGCATTCTCTGAGGCATGCTTTGTAAATGAGTTGCATGGGGATTTGTTGTGTGAAATCTTGAAAATGCTAAGGAGTACAGAAAAAAATTAAAAATATTGTTTTTCTCTTTTGTAAGAGAGTGTCTGTTAGCATGTAGCCCCATCTCAGTCACTGACGGTGTTGAAAGCTGTTTTTCTTTAATACTTCTTGTCCATCAATGTTTAAGTTCTTGTTTTTTTAATTTTTTTTAGTTTGATTTGCAGTACATGGGTTCTAGGTTGTATTTTGCAATAAAGAACAGCTTGAGTGGACATGAGTGTCCTTCTCTATAAGGAGTTTGTACTGATCCTCACCCTCGCCATCTGTTGGTGTTGGTATTCAAACCTAGGGCACTGAACTTGACCCCGAGCCCTGTGCAGATGTTTAGCTCATCTCAACGTGAAGTACAGGTAGCTCTGCTGATGGCACAGATCAGTGAAAAGGGAAACAGGAGCTAGGGACAGGTTCTTGGCTTTGGAGACCCGGGTGTTTCCTGGTGCCTTCTAGCCGAAGATCATGGTAAGTATACAGTTGTCCTCACTCTTTCCCTTTTACTTTAAAGATTTGCTTTTATATTTTCTAGAATCCTAATTATTTCAAGTAGCATTTAATACCATTTCATAAATACATGGCATAAAAGAGAAATGAACTAAAATTTATATGCTCTAAAAATAGTTTGAATTTTGAAAAGCAAACAAAACAGATTAGTTTATCAGAGTGCCAAAAGGCATTTGTGATGGCTGTTTTAGCTCATTAATAGATTTTTTTTAAATTAGGGTTTTTGGTTTTTAGCTGATGTAAAAAAGGATATGAGATATTGGTTCAAAAACAATAAAGTGGCAAATTTTAGCTATTTTTGGAGGAAAAAACTAAACAGTGACTGGTTCTTTTATTTTAAACAACTTGAATATTTTGAAATAGTGGGAATTCTGTAGACAGTGACGCAAAGTCATGCTTACTATCTAGACTAGAACCTATGGAAGTCATGTTTACTCTAAACTAGAACCTGTGGAAGTAAGTGATCATTTTGTTTTTAAACTGACATCGCTGATGGAATTTCCTCTTTAAAACAAAAACAGGGGCTGAGTGACACATCTTTAATCCCAGTGCTTGGGAGGTAGAGAGGCAGGTGGATCTCTGAGTTCAAAGCCAGCCTGGTCTACCTAGAGAGTTCAAGGTCAGCCCATGCTACCCTGTTTCAAAATAGTCAAACAACAAAAAAACCCCAGCCAAACAAACATATAAAAACTTCAGGACCAAACTGAATCATGATTAATAAAAACTCAGAGGGAAAAATTGGGGTTCAACCTGAAGATCCAAAAAAAACAAAGCAGCCAGCAACTGGCTCTTACCTCGGCCTCAATCCGAAATGGTGATCCTGCTCCAGGAATCTCAGGATGAGACTGTGTCTGAGAACTGTTTTCTCCCATTTTATATTCCTCTCTAGTTCTGGAAATAAAGGTGTGCATCACTGGAATTAAAGGCATGCACTGCCCAGTTTATATGGCAACTAGTGTGGCTACTGGGATTAAAGGTGTGTCTTACCACTGCCTGGCTGTAAGACTGACCAGTGTGGCTGATTTTACTCTCCCGATTCCCAGGTAAACTTATTTATTAAAATACAGTTGAAATGCCACTACATCAAACTCTTACATAGACACTGTACACTGGCATATCAGGAAGCCAGCATCTAGGCAATATTGTATTAACTGATCTGTCCACTCAGCCAAGATTGTATCTGTTATTACAATCATGTCCTTTTAGGAAAAGAATTCTGGCTCTCATTTGTCTCTTAGGCTGTGTATTGTCAGGGTTGTCTAGAGCCATACAACATATGGAATGAATCTCTCTCTCTCTCTCTCTCTCTCTCTCTCTCTCTCTCTCTCTCTTGTGTGTGTTTATATATGAATTTATTGGAATGATTTACAGGCTCAGTCCAACATGGATAGGTGTGAATGGAAAGTCCAAGAATCTAGAAGTTACTCAGTCCTATGAGGCTGGGTGTCTCATCAGGTCTTCTGTCGATGCTGGACTCTCAAAGAAGTAGACTCTAATGCAGTCAAGGAATGTATGGGCAAGCAGCAGAAGTTGTGGCTCAGATTAAAGGTGTGTCTTCCCACCTCAAGATCTGGATTAAAGGAGTTTGTCATCCTGCCTCCAGATCCAGATCAAAAGCTTGTGTCTTCTGACCTCCAGATCCAGATCAACAGTTTGTGTCTTCCAGCCTCAAGATCTGGATCAAAAGTGTGCCCTCCATATCTGGTTTATAGTTCATTTCAGATTGTCATGGCATTTCAAATATATTTTAATAAATAAATTTAAATTACTTAATAAATAAGTAAGTAAAGACTGCCTGAAGATCTGAAAGTAAAACAGTCCCACTGGTCAGCCTTACAGACCATGTTATGGGAACACACACCTTTAATCCCTGTAGCCACCCTAGCTGACATAGAATTCAGGTGCTGTCAGATGCAGTCTTATTCTGAGATTCCAGGAGGCAGAATGGAGGTCGAGGTAAGAGACAGTGGTTGGCTGTTTTGCTTTTTGGATCTTCAGGTTGAGCCCCAACTTCTGACTCTGAGTTTTTATTATTTATGCTTCACCAGTTAGTCCAGTTGACAACCAAAAATAGCCATCACACTTAGACTGTTGGATAACATTTTAGTGCTGTGGAGACTGAGCTTGGGATTCTGGTTAGATCCCACGTATGCCTCCTGGGCATCTCAGAAGTGACCTGTTCTCTGTACATGCTCTCAGGAGGCAGGTGCTGTCCGTCTGACTCATTGGAGAGACATTTCCTCCCTTTGTGACTGGTAGCTGTTTGGGGAGAGAGGATTTTGACAGGAGACAAATGGTATGGAACTTCTCAGACTTCACCTATTACCCTTAGGTCCACTGGGGAGTCTAGTCAGGGTCAATCCGTGTTGATGATTGCGATATGGATTATTATAATCCCTCATTTCCACTGCTCCTACTTTTGTCAGAACATTCCCTTTCAGTTGTCTTCCTTTGATCATCTGTGTCAGCATGTGGGTTGGAGATGGGCTTTTACTTGAGCTTTCTGAGCGGATAGGGTCCCCAAGAGTGAATGAAAACTCTAAGCCACCTCCCTAATTCTGCTTAGTACTCCCCCCCTCTTTATTTTCTCAAGACACAGGGTTTCTCAGTAGCTTTGGAGCCTGACCTGGAACTAGCTCTGTAGACCAGGCTTACCTGAAACGTAGAGATCTGCCCGCTGGGATAACGGTGTGCACCACCACTGCCCTGCTCAGGACTCACTTCTCTTCTCTAAATATTTATTCGGTATATTTTAGATGTAGTTGTATGATGGTGTGGGAGCGACTGTGAAAAGTTTAATATTTTAGGAGCATCATGCCTATTCTTAGGCATTTCTGTAAGTAGAAATGTTTTCACAGGCCTGAGCTAGTAGGTGACTGCTTTGAGGATGCTAGGTTGGGCTCTGCCTGAGCTCAGCACTTCTGTTATTATAAATAGCGGTTGCGTGCATGATTAAGGTGCAGAGCGTTCCAGCTTAACTTGTGCTTGGAATTAGAACCTATGGTGGTGCTAACTCCTCTATGCTATTTGCTTCTTAATGACTCTTTCAATTTCTCATCCACTCGAATTTCATGGGCAAAATGGTCCCGTGTTTTATTTTTTCTCTTGTGTGGGTGGCATAAGGCTTGGAGCTAACTGTAAGAATCTAGTGATGGAGGCTGAGCACTAGTCCCAGATCAGCTGGTATACGCACTCCTGCGAGCCTCCCTGACAAGCTACCAGGTCCTCCTGTCTGCCCTCAGTGTCTTGCCTTGGCCCTGCCAGCCAAGGAGTTTTCTGCTATCCCGGGCCTCGGCTCCGCCTCCTGCCTGGGCGCGCGCCCGAGGGCCCGCCTCCTCCCTGCGCGCTCCCTGACCCCGCCT